ATTTAAAAAAAATCCATTAACGTAAATGAATAAAGACAATTTTACTATAAAACTTTTGTATACAACATTTTTTTGATATCTTGAATAGTTTTCGAGATATAACGAAAGAAAAAAAGAATTAATTTACATATAAGGGGTGGATTCATCCCTTTAAACCGTTTTTTAGCACTAACTGATAATTTCTAAATTCATCTATTTATGCGACCTCAAAGTGTACCAAGTTTCATTAAAATCAGAATTTGACTTCGCGAGGTTCCCTTGTTAGTAGAGATGTTTTTTTAAGAAAAAAAAACATAAGCCTCATTTTTTTCTAAAAATTTTTTTAGCTATCTATTTAATATCTATATTTTGCTTAATATAAGTTAATTTTTCATGATTTTTTTATTTTATATAATCATATAATTACTATTTACAAGTAATTAATTGTGCTATCGGAATTAAAAAGAAAACCAAATTTGTATTTTTTCTAATGTTTTTTTATTAGAAAAAAAAGTTTTTTTTACACCTCTAACAGTTAGAAAAAAATTAATTATAATGTCAAGCTGGTGTTTGAATAACAAAAAGTATAAGATCAATCGCCCAAGGAACGAGCAAAGGTAAAAGTGACATAAAATCACGAAAGAAAATCAAGTTGATAAATAAGTAGTTTAATGTCATAAAAAAAAACCAAAACGTTTCGATGGAGTCTTCTTCAGTTGAAGTTAAGAATGTCACGTAAAGATAAAAAATTTTAAATAAATAAGTAAAAAACTAACATAATAAATTAATATTGACACACGTAAGTTAACTAGAATTTACGAAGAGAAATATATAAAACCTAAAACAATGGACATTAAACTCTTTTATTAATCAACTTGATTTTCTTTCGTGATTTTATGTCACTTTTACCTTTGCTCGTTCCTCGGCCGATTGATCTTATATACAGTTGGAAAATGTTTTTCGTCTGCTGCTTTTTAAAGGCCGGTACCTTGTCGAGGATGTAATGCCGATCGATGACTCCTCGACGACAGGTACGGATCTCGATCGCTATTGTAATTACTCGTGGACGTTGACGTGTGTCTCAGGTGTGTATCGCTACGATAAGGGCTTGAGCCTGTTTTATTTGTACTTCTTGAGGTTGTACTGCTTGTGGAGACGCCAACGTGAACTCGCTTGCACGCGGCTTCCGCTCCGCTGTAAGTCGAGGAGTAAGCCAGTGCCGAACGCTGAAACATAATCATCAATGTTATTACAGGGAATGGAAAGTTAATTTTTAAAAGTGACTAGTTATCGTTACTCGTTACCGAGATAAAAAAATAACCAGTTACCGTTACTAGTTATTGATTTTTTAAAATAACTCGTTATTGTTACTTAAAAAGTAACGATTCGTTACTTTTTTAATGCTGAAACAAGATCAATCTAAATAATTTAAGATGCAATTTTTTATTTTAATATTAATAAAAGCAATACAACAATGACACTAGACCGATATATAAAAATACAACTAGGAAGATGCCTTTTCGATATGAGCTAGAGCTTCCAGCTTCGTGCTTAATATTTCAAAATAAATTTATATATACACTGAGAAAAAAAATTACTTAAAACAAATAAATATGTTTCAGGTACCCCTCAAAAAAATAATTTCTTGAAGCAAGTAAAATTTTTTTGTTTTAAATAATTTTTTTCTCAGTGCAAACACTTTTACTTAACATAAAAAAATTTTACTTGCTTCAAGAAAATTATTTCTTTAAGGGGTACCTGAAACATATTTATTTGTTTTAAGTAATTTTTTTTCTCAGTGTACATATCCAATTTTACAAACTACGCGCCAATTAAATTTTCGATTTTGAAACGCAATTTAGCTGATATTTTTCACAATAAATTTTTCAAAGTATTTTAAGATTCTTATAACATAAATATCTTATTAAATTACTTGTCAATTCAATTTGTGATATTGATTGATTTATGACATTTTAAGAATGTCATAAATATTTTAAAGGGGAAGCCTGGTCTAGCATGCTGAAAAATTAGGCGATCTTTTTGAAATTTTTTTTTAGGAAACTATTCAACCAATCCTTTTGAACTTTATAGGGTAATTTCTTATACTATTGAACTAACAAAAAAATATTTTTTTTGCCAGAGAAAAGTATTTATTATACAAGTAATAATAACATTTATTTGGCGGCGTGCAAGATAACTCAAAAACTATTCATCCGATTGACTTCGGCCTTTGCACACATCTGCACAAATACTTCCCTAATAATTTGAACCACCGTTTATAATAATGTTATTTAATTAAATAATTTTTATTACATAAACACGAAAAATTTTTTGCCAAAATCGTTACCTTCCTTTTTCAAGTGCGCGATTTTCACAATTTCACATATTTTCTTTAAAAATAGGTTCAGTTAATGCGTAAACTTTTAATAAACAATAATCTTTTTGGATTTTTTATTTCAGACAAATACAAGCGACGCTACATTGCACGCCGCCCGCCGACATGCCGAATAAAAAGTTATTATTATTTGCATAATAAATACTTTTTTCTGGCAAAAAATATTTTTTTGTTAGTTCAATAGTATAAGAAATTACCCTATAAAGTTGAAAAGGATTGGTTGTATAGTTTCCTAAAAAAAAATTCCAAAAATCACCTAATTTTTCAGCGTGCTAAATCAAGCTCCCCCTTAAAACATAATTTAAAACATTCTTAAAATAAGAGTAAACTATGTGAATACTGACTAAAAACTGAACATTAAATATACATACGAAAATTTTGTCATAAATGCAAAAAGTTCAAAATACAAAAAGTAACGATAAAAGTAACTGTATAATTCGTTACCGTTACCGAAAAAATGTAACTACGTTGCCGTTACGATTATCAAAAAAAATAAAATAACGTCGTTACCAATCCGTTACAAAAAAAGTAACGGTAACGGCGTTACAAGTAACGAGTTACTTCCAATTCCTGAATATTAATGCGTTCGTATATTTAATTCATTTACGACAAGAGATCGATTTTAAAATTTACATACCGAATGGCCGTTTACGTTTTGACTGCTACTTCCGTTGCCGATGCTCCCTTCCAGCAAAGGCGTTTTCTTGCCGATACACCTTAACAGACTTTGATACAAATTCCTCCTGACTCTGCCATTGACGAAGCAGTAGCCGATCAAGCTGAATGCCGCGTGAACCACGATAGCGACGCTCAGCAAATACGACAGCATCGACGAGTTCTCCGACGCATTGAGAACCGCCAGGGTCCACGTTGAGCCCAGCAAAGGTAACGAGGCTACGGAGAGCCATAGGAGCGTTCGTAAATTTCCGAAGCCCATAATGTGCTCTTTCAGAGTAAACGCCGCGCGGATGCACATTACGAGAATGCAGAAGTTCACCAGCACGGCCGCGCAAACGGGTCCTATAAGCGACCAGATCACAGTCTCGTAGATGGACAGCCAGCAGCTGGAAAATTAAATGAAAATATATATGTAATTATAAAAATTACATCTGAAAGTTTAAAATTCCAATAGGTTTGACACAAGCCGCGAAAGAATGTGTTATTATAATAATACAAATTATATCGCTATAAAATCGTTTTCCTATTTTTTATAATTTTTATCTTAAATATACATATATATATTTTTTTATTTAATATTTTATTGAATAAATAATTTATTTAATTATAATTTTTATCTTAAATATATATATTATCATAAGAGATGTGTGAATAGTTCGAATTCGAATCGAATCTGTAAGATTCAATATCGAGTAGTTCAAGAATTTCGAATCAACAATTGCTCGATTCCGAATGGATCGCCTATTTTATTTGCTTCATTTATATCTCCCGCGCGACCAATTATTCTTGTCTAATAAATAAGTAAGTATTTTTGATGCAATGTATCCGTATAGATGAATAAAATGTTCAAAAGCATTCTAACTATTCGTGTATACTCATATTATTAATTACACATTTTCTAGTTCAAAATGTCACATAAAATTATGATCCTCTGTAATGAGATGTAAACCCAAACTTGAGCAGATTTTCAGTTTGTTTAAATCATTGCGTAAAATAATGTAAATAATGAATTTTGATATTTATTACGTTTAAATTAACATGTAATGTAAATCTGGGAAAATTTGATTCAAATTCGATTCATATTCGAATTAAAGAGATTCGATTCGATTCGAAGTGCAAATTTCAGATTCGATTTGATTCGATTTCGAACATGTTATCAAAAATTTAAATCAATTCGATTTGACCATGCAAATGCTTCATTTGCATACCTCTAATTATCATATATTATTATCAATTTGCTTGATAAAATAATGAAATAATGTTACAACAGCAGATTCTAAATTTTAAGATTTTAAAGTAAAGAGTAAGGGAAGGGGGGCGGGGCAAATAGTGACAGGGGGCAAATAGTGTCACTGTTTAAATTTCTTCTCTTTCCCACGTCTATTTTATCACTACTCGTCAATAGAAAGACAATTCTCAAGCATCTAAAAAAGCATCTTCTAAAAAAGCAGTAAATATCAAAAGCTAAATATAGCTAGCGGATAAGTTTAAAATTTTGCACTCGTGAAATAAGATAAAACCTGGATCTTTTTTTTATATTTGAAGTTATATTTTCTTAATTGCTGAATGTATGAGTTGTATGAGATTTAACCTATTCTGTGTCATACGGTACCTTTTTCCTCTTTTTTGATATAATTGCTATGCTTGTATATTAATTTTATTTCTCTCAGTAAAGTTTTAAAGGAAAAAGTAGTTCTTGGGGCAAATAATGACAATTTTCAGTTGAATAAATAATGACAATTTCAAAAAGCTTTTTTAATATTTGAATATGATTTTTCTAATTAATTTGGGATATTATAAGATTAGTTACAAGGCAAGATCCAGAATAAATGTGATTTTCAATAAGAAATACTAGCAAATAATGTTACTACTATTATTTTTCAATAAATAAAAATTTACATATGGCAGCTGAGTATAGAAATTAATATAAATTCCTTATCTAATCAAAATATCAAAAGAAAGATTGATTAGGAGTTAAGAATTATGTATTTTGTAATTGCTCCATAGGGTGTCACTATTTACCCATAAGGTGGGGCAAATAGTGACAAATGTAGGTTTAAATTTTTATGAAAATCTAGCCCGTATACATGACTTATGGAAACTCTAATTAATTTTTTTGTACATTTGAAAGTAGAAAGTACTCTTTTAGTGAAAAATCATATCTTGTAAACTTGAAATTAGCTTGTAGGAGAGAGAGGAAAAAATCTTGCGCACCCCTTCCCTTACTTTTATTTTAAATGTAATAACGTGTTATTTAAGGAACATAGAGAGATCACTAAGATCAACTTACAAATAGAAATTTCCGTACTGATCGGCTCTGACGCCGATAGTAAGTCCAACGATGACGGCCGGCAGACCGTATCCCATAGTGTAGTAAAACCTCATCTGGCCGTGGTTCACGTCTCTCATCTCCGTCAGCATCCGATAAAGATGAACGGAGTCTACGAGGGTCCAGGCGAAGGTGCTCAACCAGGCGTAATGCAGCCCTATCGCCGTGAGCTTGCACGGGAATTCGTTGGAGATGAGAGGATTTCTGGCCTTGAGCGCGATCAGGTACAAGATTTCCGCCACGAGAACGCACAACACCAGATTCTTGTGGATACTGTTGGAATTGGTACCACCGCCGCGGATCAACGCCAGAATCAGGAGAGCGGACAACAGCAGCGGCAAGGCGAGCATAAACGCGCTATAGCTGGTCACATCTTCCAGCAAGGATGGCTCGGGAACGTATTCGAGGTCGAGGACGTCCGTCAGTATGGCAAAGGTGGACAGTTTCATGCAAGAGCAGTTCACGATAGTGCCGAAGGACAGAGAATTGTCCTCGATTTCCGTGGTGCAGCCCATTCGACTCCACTCACCGACACTGAAATTCATCAATTAGGAGAAATTGTTTTGTGCGAATTTACTATGACATTTTTATCACAGTCGAATCTCGATAACGCGAACCTCTACAACTCGAAAACCTCTACAAGACGAAAATATCGTTCATTCTTTTTCGCTCCACTCCGCGGAAAACCTCTATAAATCGAAATAAAACCTGCCTTAACTCGAATTATTTATCAGATATTTAGATGTATTATTTTATCTCGATAAGTCGAACTTCTATTGTCGCGCTGCCTTTTAGAGATGTAAATAGAAAAAAAATCAAATTACTTTTTTTCATAAAATACGTTTTTTTTTAAGAAAAAAAAAACAAACCACGTTTTTTTCCAAAATTTTGTTTTTTTCAGCTATCTCTTTAATATCTGTATTTTGCTTAATATAAGTTAATTTTTCATGATTTTTTATTTTATGGATAGTAGATTTAAATTAGCATCATTTTAACCTTTACGCAGAACGAGAAAGCCAATAAATTGATTCTGAAATGCATTTTGAAGCAATAATACTTAAGGAAAAGCTCTTTAGAAAAAGAATTAAAAAGATTCTCCTTTTATAAAAGTTAAATGTAGATCACATTAAAATTAATTATATAATTACTATTTACAATTAATTAATTATGTTATCGGAATTAGAAAAAAAATCAAATTTGTATTTTTTCAATGAAATAAAACACGGTTTTTTCTAATGCTTTTTCTATTAGAAAAAAATACTTTTTTTCACAACTCTACTGCCTCTATAATTCGCAATTATAGCTATGTGTAACCATGAGTAATAGCCTGATATTTTGTTTTATAATAATTATGATTACATTTATTATATGTATGCAATAAACAATTTACTGTCAAATATTTATTTTTTTCCTTTTAAAAACCATTATAATCGGAAAATTATAAACTCTCGTACAAAACCTTCGTAAGTTGAATTTTCATATTTTAACTCTCTTTTATTCGAATTTTGAAAACTCTATAATTCGAGGGGTTTTTTCTCTTCCCTTGAGATTCGAGTTATCGAGGTTCGACTGTAAAATTGAGTTTTTATATCAATAAAAAATTGTGATCAATTAAATCTATCTCTGTCGTTAGATTAGATTGATTCTTTTTTTATAAAGAATTAGAACTCTTTAATTTGTGAAAAATCAGTCAACTTATCTTACCCTCTCGCCGTGCTCCAGTGAACGCATTGCGGATTTGTTCTGGTCTTGAAATCATCGTTTTCATTGAGCCAAAGTCTGACTTGAATCGGCGATTGCAATGGGATTCCTGTCAAGGACTCGTAGCCGTCATCCGAGGGAACTAACACCGAGACGGTCATTACGGGTGATCCAACTGCCACCTCTACTCCCCATCTGACTGCTACCGAGTCGTCGAATCTACGATTCAAACGTTATCATTGAACTAGCCTGCAGATAAGCCGTTCTTTTTATTTCTATTTATTTCTATTTTTTTTATTCTTTTATTTCTATTTTTGCATATAAAGTCCAATAAAGAGAAAAAATTATTTATAGATTTCGCTCGTTATTGCAAATACAATAATTAATATAGGATTAAACAGCCAAAGACGACCGCAATTTAACTGGTTGTAAAAATTACTAAGAAATAATTACTTAGAAATAATTAGCTTTTATCATGTAAAAGTAATAATTGATACGAGCAGCATAATTATACGTACCTTTGTGGCAAAAGAGCGCCGAGTTCTTTGTACTGCACGTAACTAAGCACGGCCTTTTGATTGTTCAGACTGTTCTTGACATTCAATTCACCCTGCATGAGAGGTTTGATGCCTAACGTGTTGAGCGGCACCTGAATCTTTGAGTGCGGATCGAATCTGCCGGGATCGGCCATGTAGTTGTTATACTTTGGGAAGCTGACAGACGGACCAAAATGTGTCGAAGAGCTCAGGAAAGCGGAGGTATCGGGCAGGATGACCTTCCGGTCGGCTTCCACGGGCCTCGTTGTCGATAAAGTGGCATCTTCCTTATATTCGACAGTCTCGTAGCCGAAGAGGCTCTCTGACGTTACGATGTCGAGACCCAACACTGAAATGTGATGCACATAATTTAATAATAAAAATGAAATTGAAATTGATTATATATTAATAATAAAAATGTATTGAAATTGATTTCTTCGCGCAATATAAAGTGCAATATATTTTTAGCGGAAATTGTAAAATGTATTACATATATTTTTAGATTACTGTTTAATTAAATTTTATCATTGTCGCGTATCGCGCGCAAAACTTATTCTTAAGTAAAAAAAAATTGTTTCAATTTGATTTTTTTTAAAGAAAATCCACTGAGAAAAATGATTTGTTTACACCAACAAGATGTATATGATTGAATGAATTTTGGTGAAACCAAACAGAATTTCTGTTTATAATAAGAGGATTCGATATTTCATCGCCAGAATGTTTGACAGACTTTACTATACGAATTCGATTAACATTTTCTAATTAGATCTACAAAATTTCTGGTTATATTCAGTAAACGTTCCCCGCAAGCAGCGGCACGCTGCACCGCCACGAGAAAAATGAATTCATTTCTCGTATTTAAGAATCACTACAGAAAGAATAAAAGACGCAGCATTACGAGATTTTTTATTATTTCTAAAAGTGAGATCAAGTATGAAAATAACTGAAAAATATATTTTAATAATAGTTTTTAGTTTTGTACCAAAATTAATTCAGAACCTTATAATTCCTGGAAATTAATGTGTGCTGAAATATATTAATATAAGAGATTCGGTCACACATAACAAAAAATTTTAATATATTTAACATGAAAGAATTGTTCGATAAACAAAAAATTCTGGTATATTTAACAAAGAAAAAAAAAGATTCGATTGACATGAAATTCTGACAGATTTAACAAGAAAGAATTGTAATCATATTCTGAATCTTACAAGAATTCTGATTCGTCGATTTTCAAACGGACATACTAGCGTTGACTCTAGCAGATTTCTAATTAATGCAATCAAATTCTTTTTTTCAGTAATAACAACAAAAACGAAATAGTAACAAAATCTAAAAGAATTAAATAGTTTATAAATTCCTAAAAATCGTTTTATTGATTAAAATAATTAAGAGGATGCTGAAAGGTCGGCCAAATTTGTACGAAGTCGATAAAGCAGACTTTTCAGTGTCAGTGATATCTCTAAATGAACTTCTTACAATATCTTTTGGTCTCACTCAAATACGTGGAATGTCCTTATCTGACTTATTGAAATGCCATCTCTT